GCGCGTTCTGCTCCTCGATCGCCAGCCCCGGGTTGCTCCCCCTGATCGCTCTCAGCAGCTCCTGGGTGTGGGCGTCCGGCGGATCCGTCTTCAACCTGGCGGCACCGTGGGGGGATCACAGCTTTCTTCCCGGCTCATCCGCACCGAGGACATTTTTCCCGTTGGTTTTTTTAGAGAGAGTGGAAGGGGGGAGAAACGTGGACGCGAGAGACACATCGATGGGTGGCCTCCTGCACGCGCCCCGCGGGCCCAGGTGGGACCTGCAGCCAGGGCACACGCCCTTGACGGGGATCGGCCCGGACCCTTTGTTCACCGGCCGACGCCCTGACGGGTGCCACGCCGGCCAGGGCCGGTCTTATCTTTTGACTCGATTTACCGGCCACAGCAGCAGGAGGGATGGACAGACAGGTATCTGGCGACCGAACATCAATGGACGTAAACGGACTGTTAGCAACAGAGGCGCCGGCCAGGAGCCCCGTCCTTGGCGCTCCCTCAAAATCTATAGTCACGGAGCAAACGTGGGGGGCGGGGGTCATACCTGAGCTCCCGGAGGGGGCAGCTTTGCAGTTTCAGGACCTTGCCCAGCACCCCTGTCCCGCTAGGTCCCAAGGGGTTCTGGCCCAGGTCCAGGGCGACGAGGCTCCGGCTGCTGCGCAGGGCGGACGAGAGGTCCGCGCAGCCGAGAGGGGTGATGGCGCAGCCCCACAGCCTGCGGGAGAAATGCCGAGATCCGTCCCGCGTTCACTCGTCCGCTCGCCCAGCCTGGGCTCACTGGAGCCACCGGACGCGCCGGCACACTCGTGGGTGTCGGGGCCCAGCCCTGGGCCACGCGGGCCTCTCCCCTCGGAGTTTGGAAATGAGACGGAGCAGCGACTGGTGTGCTGTCCACAAGGAGAAGAGGTGGGTGACGGGGCTCGGGGGCGAAGGAGAGACGGGCGCCCACCGCGAGGGGNCGCGTGTGTGTGTGGGTGTGTGCGGGTGTGTGCGTGTGTGTGCGCGTGTGTGTGCGTGTGTGTGCGCGTGTGTGCGCGTGTGTGCATGTGTGTGCGTGTGCGGGCGTGTTGGGGGCGTGGAGAACAGATCCAGACGCCTNGGGTGTGTGTCCGTGTGCGCATGCGCGTGCATGTTGGGGGCGTGTGCACGCACATGTGTGCGTGTGCGTGTGCGCATGTGTGTGCATGTGTGTGCGTGTATGCGTGTGTGCGCGCGCGTGTGCGTGTGCGGGCGTGTTGGGGGCGTGGAGAACAGATCCAGACGCCTGGGAGGGCAGCGCGGTTCCAACAAGGGCGACACCCGGTATTTGAAAGGACAGAGGAATAAAGGCGACACACGAAGGCTTTTGTTGTGAGGAAACAAAACAGTCCTAACAACTGACTGACTCGTGAGTGGGAGGGAGGGAGGGAGACTGGCTGCTGCACTTGCTGATGCATCGGGGTCCTCGTTGCAAGCGCCCTGACTGGGGGTCGAGCCCCCAACCTTTGGGCGTCGGGGTGACGCTCCAACCCACTGCGCTGCCCGGTCCAGGGCACTTAAAACGCTGACTTGGGCTCATTCCAGCCCCGTTAGAGCTGCGGGGAGGGGCTGCTACGCCGACCCCCCTTCAGACACGGACGGGCGGAAGAAACAAGAGCCACTGACCACAGACGCCGGAGGCCACACGACGGCCTCTTCAGGGCCTCGCACCGGAACCTCAGCCCCGCGGCCCCCACGTGGTTCAGCCCCAGGTCCAGGTGCCTGAGGCTCGAGCTCTGCTGCAGAAGCGTCGAGAGGGCAATGCAGCCATCGCCGCTGATGTTGCAGTGGAATAGCCTGGACGTCGTCCCGCGGAGCAGAAAGCAAACGAGCTCTGCTAGCCCTCGCTGGCGAGACCAGCCAGACCACGGCCGCGGCCTCCGGCCGGGGCAGCCTCCCTCCCTCC